AGGCCCGTTTGTATCGTCGGGGCACCCGCTGCACTTCAGCTCGAACGTCCCATAGATTTGATAGAAGATGGTAGGAGTCAAGATGCCAATGATGGCCATGATCAGCATGGTGCTCGTGACGCCCGCAGATTGTGCGTTGAACTTCTGCTCTTTGCGGCGCGTGGCACCCGAGCACATACTCAGGCCAGGCATGAGTAAGACGCCGGCGAGGATCGAGCCGATCAAAGAACCCTCGACGAGACCCGACCGCCCCTGCATGAGCGCGATCGAGTAGAGTAGCAGCTCGATGATGGAGCCAAAGGTCGCGTTGATCACGGCACCCATACCAATACTGCTCTGGGTGCTGATGGTGGCCACCGCCATCCCGATAAAGTAGGACAGCGGCAAGACGCTACAAAGCGACATGATGAACACGGCGCCATCTCCGCAAAGCATGGGAAGAATACCATGGGTGACCCCGAAGTGCTCGAGCAGCGGCCGCAGGACAAAGAAGGCGAGGATCGTGAAGAAGACGATAGGAAGCGTGTTGACGAAGAGAATATTGACGCCGCCCACCGTGTACTTCCAGTACTCCTTCCCCACGGCACGGTAGTTACACAGTAGAATCACGCTGCGGCGCTTGCTCGTTCCCTTCTTGCGGTGCTTCGGCTTGAGCCGCGGTGCGGCTTGGCCGGGGCGGAGCGGATACGCCATCGATTCCTGTCCTCCTTCGTCGCTCTCGATACCCTTGACGCGCATGACAGTCGTGTCAATCTGCAGGGGCGAGCGGAAGTGCAGCGCAAGAGGCTGTACGGCAAGGTTCTGGAGTAGGACCCACGAGAGGCGGGCCATCGGGATGGGCACGACCAAGAACCAGCAGATGAGGCAGACGGTGCCAAGCAGTGGGACCAGAACGAGTCCATAGAGCAAGGCGTACACAATGATACCGCCCCAGCGCTTCGAGACACCAATGTCGCGACCTTGGTCGTCGTACACGTAGTGATAGACTCCACGCTCAGCACCAATGCGCTCTTGCTCCGTCTGCGGAGAGTCGGCCTCGTCCGCATCATCTTCGTCGCACGACACAGCATTGTACGAGGGTTTCGACGATACACCGGGGAGGAGCAGCGTACTTTCGCTGGCGTCGTTGGTAGCGTTCAGAGTCTTGTCGCTGTCGTCATCCTTAACGTCATGCTCGTGAATGTGCGTCCAGCGACAGGGGCCATGGCGCTCGCCGCTCTGGTGCGTGCACTCGAGCTCAACATAATTGCCAAAGGGCCACATGATGTAGGTAGCTAGGCCGTAGAGCACTCGAGAGTACATCGCACCGCCCCGCGGAACCAGACGTAGCACTCCGGAGAGCACAAAGCAAATAGCACCAATCCAGATGCCGAAAAAGACCAGCCAGAAGACGTTGCCGGGGAGTGCGCCTCGCGCCTGGTTCTGACCCGGCATGCACTTCAGTGCCTGGTCTGCTGAACGCGTGATGGAGCGCGACTTCTTATACAGGGCAGGCTTCCAGATCGGCAGACCGAACGGATGCTCAAAGTTGAAGGCGTCCTGACGATCTTTGAGCGTGTACTCCAGGTCCTCGTTATTGTCCTCTTGATCATCGTCGTCGAACGGATGCTCGTTATCGTCTTCCTCGTCCTCGTCCTCCTCTTCATCCTCGCCGTCGTCCTCGTCCCTGGAGCCATAGCTCTCTACGCTTTCGTCCTCGTACGGCGCACTGCCCCCCGCGTTTTCCGGACGCAGAGTGTTGGGGCTGCGGAGCGAGTCGGGGAACGCAGAGCCAGGGCGCTGGCTGTACGACATGCTCCCCGAGGGATCCAGGCTGTCGGATGTAAATGACTGCGAGAAGTCGCCGCCCTCGCGCTGCAGCTTCATGAGCTTTTCGCGCTTGCGCTGGCGCATCCGGTGGCGAATAAGCGCCTCTCCGCGGTCCTTGTGCTTCAGTTCGTCGTTCTTTTGTTCAAAGTTGTCCAGCTCTTCATGGTCGTCGCGATAGCTCGAGAAGCGGTTCTTCGGAGGGGCGATACTCGCGCGACGCCCAAACGATACGGACTGGTCCGACTGGGTCACCGAGCGGCGCTTCGGACGCGAGCTCTCCGAGCGATCCCGGCTGGGACGCACGGTAAAGGGCGACGAAGGACTTTCACTCGCGGCCCCGTACGAGGCACGCGGCGTGGAATCGCGGCCGCCACGGGCATCCGACGTCGACGCACCCTCGCTCATCCCGTCGTGGTGGTACAAACCTAATCACCCGTCGGGCATGCACCCGAGGCACGTTTTAAAGCCGTCTTTCATAAGCAACGGTTGGCCCGAGCGCGGTAATGTACAAAGCTATTGAGATGCGGGCGGAAGGCCACGGCTGGGGCGTCGACACGTCGGGACCTGGGCCCAGGCGTCTTTGCGGCACGAAGGGCACACCACCCATTTCCCGACAGTGTCGAGCTTCACAGGCTGATCCGCACACTCAACAGGCGGCAATTGCCTGGACTGAGACAACGGCTCGGCGTCAGTGCCCGCCGTGTCGGACGCGTCGGTGTCGTCCTCGTCACTCGCCTCTGCGTCTGTAGGCTCGAATGCGGCGGAATACTCGACACTCATCGCCGTGCACAGGCAGTCCATGTGCACCTCATGGCGACAGGGGTGCATCGTCACCAGCTGTGTGCCAAAGGCAGGCGGGGCGCGCGCATCACACGGCCCGTCGTGCTCCAAGTCGCGAGGAAGACATGCAGGAGCATCGCAGCGCCACCCGGCCTCGCGCTCCTTTTCGCGGACATGCTCCAGCAATGTGGGACAAGGCTCGTTCTCGCGCAGGGAGTGCCGGCAGAACGGGCACACCCATTTGCTGGGTGGGGTATTGGCGAGCCAGTCGCGCAGACAGCAGGCATGCAGCGTGTGGAAGCCACGGCACGGGACCACGACAACAGCCTCCTTCTCCGACTGCTCCTCGCCCACGAACCACGTAGGACGGTCTTCGATTGCATAGGGCTCGAGACAGACGCCACAGCCAGTCACTGTGCCCTCCGACTCGCCGAACACATCCATGCCGAGGTCGCCGATGCCAAACCGGCTCATCCGCTTGCGCAGCTCCGCATCCACATGCTCGAGGTGGCGCACGTACTCGGCGGCACGCTCGGGATCAGCTTGCTCCTCGGGCTCGGTACGGAACGAGAAGGAAACGCGAAAGGGGAAGCCGACCACATGCACGGTCCGAGGCGGTCCGTCCGACTCGGGATTCGACGCCTCTTGATCCAGGATCGGCCACGCGAGGCTTGCTTCCGTATCGTACAAGAATGCAAAGGGGAAAGGCGAGACGGTCCTCGGGATGTACATGAGAAACTGGGGTCCATTCTCGGTTCCCGGGTTAGGGGTAAGGTTGGGTCCGTTGGACGACGACTCGTGCGGCGCAGCCGTATCAGCACTGGCAGATGTAGAGGCATCGGTGCCACCGGCTGCAGAGCTTTCTGTAGTCGGTTGCGATGCAAGACTCTCGCCTGCAGCATCGCGCGTGACGGAAGAGGTGCCTTGCGACGCCTCAGGCGATGTGGTATCCACCGACGCGTCTTGCGCTCCAGTTTCCTGGAAACGACGCAGCGCATCTGAAGCTGGATCCAGCAAACGGATCGATAGCCCCTGCGCTGCAGGTTCGTCGCGGCGCGAGGCATCTTCGGTGCGGTCCTGCTCAACTTCATGTCCGCGAGGCGGTGCCGCGTGATCGGGCAGGTTTTCGGGCTGTACAGGAGGGTCGTCGCGAGGCGTATAAGATGAGAAGGACTCTCGAAGACGATCAAATAAAGTCCCCAGCAAGGAGCGCAAGAATGGACGCGCATGGTCATCTGGCCCCCTCGGTAAAGACTCTCGGCCAGAGTCGGTGTGTGGCGCTGCATCGTTATCGCGTTCCGAGTTTTGAATTTCGCTAGAGGACGACGGCTCATGGTCATCGCGTGCATCTGTTACCGAGCTTGACAGTGACTCGGGAGGGTCGACTTGGATGCTCCAGGGACAAGCCCTCTCTCGCTCACTAGGCGCCGAGGTACTCGGCGATCGGATCGTGATCGTTGCCACACCATGGGCTCTTTCACTTGGCTCAGGATGATCAGAATGGCTCAGTGAATTTGTATCCTGACCATTTGGCAGAGATCTTTCGGACATGGTGACTCATCAGCTCGGGAGCCCAGACGCTCGCTCTCGTAGTACAAAGATATGCTCTCCCCACAACCGAAAGTATCCGAATCAAATCGAATGTGGAGGAGTGATAATAAGTTAGGGTTGTCACTCCAGCGTCATGAGTGATGCATCGAAAACCGATCGGCAGGAAGCACGATGCCCCGTCGAGAAGGTAGATACCAAAGACACCAGTACTGATGTACACAAAAATGCTGGAGAAAAGTGCATCGAGGACAGAAATACCGAGTCTGAACCAGCAAAAGAAGGCGATGTGCCGGAGAAGAAAGAGTCTCGTCAAGCACAGGACAACGCCTCCGAACCTGCGAGCCAATTACAACAAAAAAAAGAGGACACTGAAGAATCACAAGACGACCAGAAAAGGCCTCTTGAGCCTGTCAAGAAGCGTCCGTCCCAACTGAGCACACTCGCTTCAAACACGCGAAAAAAGCGCAAGAGTCGGTTGGCAGACATGAGCGCCGCAGCCACCGCGCAGCCAGCCAAGCTAAATACACTGGAAAAGTCGAAGTTGGATTGGGAAACTTATAAAGGCACAGTACCTGCAACGTCGTCTACAGAGACCATGACCGATGCGGAGCGCGACGAACTTGAGTCTCAGACACGCGGTGGTGGCAGCGGCCTCAGCGACGTCAAGGGGTACCTTCACCGGAAAGAGTTTCTGGACCGCGTGCATAATCGCCTGGATGCACAGGAATACGATGCTCATCTATCGTAGATACCCATATCCACTATACCACTGTGCCACCTTGCTGAGCCCAACTCGACTGCCGGTGGAGGTCTTCGAGATCAGGGAGAAGAAAAAAAAAAAAGCAAGGTGCAAAAATGTGTTCCCAATCCGGGAGTCGAACCCGGGTCTTGTCGGCGCTTCACAGACCAGAAGATCTTATGAGAGCGACATATACTAACCGTTGTACTAACTAGGAGAACTGTTGATGTACTATCCATTTTCACGATATATCAGCCATAGACCAGAGGTTACTTTCCCAGGGTGCGTATCGATGCTGACGAAGCCTGTCGCCGGAGTCGGGCACGGAGGTCCTGGGATGAGTGGTCTTGAACTAGATGTGCATTCTGATGTGAGTCCACCTTACCACCCATCGCGGAATCCTCACAAAGAACGACTTCTGGAGCCTCGCTGCTCTTCACATGGAACATGAGCGACGGAGAAACGGAGACAATGCTTGATGTGCGACGGCGCCCGAAAGAGGGCACCTCATCGTTCATGCGATCGAGATAGGAGGGCATGTCGGAAGTTGAAGCAAGGGACGAGACGGATGGCCGACGTCCCAGGCGTTTGTTGCTGTCTTGTACTTGCGAATGTTGACTCGACGCGGAGGACATGCCGCGTAGCTTCGGGGTAGAGGCCCCTGCATAGCTCTCTTGGTTCTGGACGGTGATGGCCTCTTGAGAAGATAGAGGTGTCACAGGAGCAACAGATGAGCGTGACAAGAGCGCAGGACCGGGCGAGCTGCGCGACGGGTGACGGTTGGCGGCCATCTTGGAAAGACTCCGCGGCGGCCTACTTGTTTGCCGCAGCATGGTGTTGACGTCTTGGAATACAGATGATGCAGATTTGCGTTGGCTTCCGGTATCCGAAGCAAACGGAAAGATGCTCGAGATGCGCTTGCTGAGCGCAGAGTGCTCTGCCTCACTGACCACGGCACTGATCTTGCGGTCGCTGTGCGGCGCAGACCATTGCTGTCCTTCTGTGGCTACGCGGCGGTAGCGCGACAAGTTGGCCGAGTCGGGGCACTTGTTTGCTTCGCTCAGATACGCTAGCCATCCTTCGTACGCGGCATCGACCGATGCAGTAGATTTCTCTAGGAATGCCGACCTCATCGCGAGGAAGGCTTCCAAGAAGGTCGTATGGGTCTTGGCGATCGTTTTGGCTGTCTCGAGCTGCGCCGAGTCGGGCGGGTCATCCGAGTCGGCCGTGTGGGCGAAGAGGTCTTGGGACTTTTCCAGTGTCTCCTTCAGCGCCGACCACAGCGAGTGGCGCGTGCCCTCGACCTGCTGCATATCCTTGGACGGCCGTGCGGTATAGATTTCACAGGAGCGCGGGAAGAGGAGCAGAAGTGGCATGGAGATATCTGCATGGGATTCATTCGTGGATACGCCCAGGCAGGACTCGGGCGCACACGACAGCGTGCAGAGAAGCGTGAGGGTCTGGTTGAGCAGCGACCACTGCGATGCGCAGTCCGAGCTGGACGCCTCGGCCGTGCTGAGTTGCTCGGAGATGCGCTGAAAAGCCAAGATGCCCCATGCGAGACCTCGTAGCGTATCGCGCTCGAACAGAAAGACGGACTGGTTCGTGCGCACAACACCGAAGCCAAAGAGCTTGGCCAGGAATGCGCAGGCGAATGCATTGCCCAGCTCGGCCGCGCGGCGGTAAAGCACGGCAGAGAGCGTGTACTGGTGAGCCGAGAACGCGACCTGTGCTTCCCAGAGCAGCCGGTTGACGTCCGTGGTCGACTCGATGAGCTCGTGCATGTGTTTCTGCTTCTCGAGACGCGTGCTGGCGTACGTGCGCAGACTCTGTTTGGTGGAGCTGGGGCGCTCGGCTGCATGACGGTCATCCCTCGCGCCCCGACCCGTGGCATCGTCGGCGTGCGGCACGGTGTCGTTCATCGCGACGAGGCCGAGGCCACAGTCCTTGCTCTTCTCGCGCATCTTGTCATACAAGCAGGCATTGAACACCTGCACGCTCTTTGGCACCTGTCGGACATCTCCGAGGGAGTATTCAGTCCGCGCGCTGTGCTCCGCGGGGCTCCACAACGAGGGCACCGAGCGATGGCCCAGAGCCGGCGATCGCCAAATGTTCATGCTGGCGAGTCCAAATAAGCACCGAATGCGCAGATTAGCCCATTTCTCAGCCTATGTGGAGGGCTACCGGAGCGAAATGCTAAAGATCTCAATCGGGTCGATCGGTCGATCGCCGCGGCGCACCGGTGTGTGCTCGATCTGGTGAATGACTTCGAGGCCGCCGGTGGCGCGGCCAAAGACGGTGTGCTTGTCGTCCAGCCATGGCGTAGGCACAGTAGTGATGAAAAACTGGCTGCCGTTCGTGTTGGGGCCGGCATTCGCCATGCTCAGCGTGTAGGGTTTGTCGTGGCGCAGCTCCGGGTCGAACTCGTCCTCGAACTCGCGCCCCCACAGGCTCTCGCCCCCGGTGCCGTCCCCAAGGGGGTCGCCGGTCTGGAGCATGAACTTTTTGATGACACGGTGGAAGATGATGCCGTCGTAGTAGCCCTTCTTGGCGAGCCCCACAAAGTTCTCCACGGTCTTGGGCGTGCGATCCGGGTACAGCTGCAGGTGGATGTCGCCGACGGTCGTGTGGATGGTGGCGGCGGTGACCTGGTGCTTCGGCTTGGCCTCGACGGTGGTGGTCGCCACGGCCTGTTCCTCGCGCGTGGGCTTCTCGTTGAGCACGTCGCGGTCCGCGCCGCTGAGCTTCGAGTTCGGATCGCTCTCGGGCTCGTTGCGCGTGAACATGTAGAAGCGCGCGCGCTTGAACGCGGAGCAGAAGAGCGTCGGATCGTGCTCCTGCTTCTGGAGCAGCGGGTTGTCCGATGCCGCGAGGTCGATGCTCGTCGGCTGCTTCTTCTCGGGAACGCCCTGGTAGAGTGCGAGATGCAGGAAGCGCACCGTCTCGTCCTTGCCGAGCAGGCGGCACAGCTTGTTCGACTTGAGGTTGATGACCTTGATGCCGAGCATGGTGCCGTACGCGACAAAGTGACCGCTCTCATCGAACACTGCGTTCGCCGTGCCGGCGCCCGAGGCGTTTGCCGTCGCCTCGGCGAGCCCTGGCACGCCGGTCGCGTCGAGGTCGCGCTCCGCCGCGAGGCGGCGCCCAAACTCCATATCGTCGAGCGTGTACGCGGCGGTGCCGGCCTGCTGCATCTCCTGCACAGCAGTAAGCGACTCGTCGTACTGGCGCAGGAGCTTGCCCTTGGCGAACTGGAAGACGCGCACCTGGCGGTCGTGCATCGAGACGGTGACAAAGTGCGAAAAGTCGGGCGAGAAGGTGAGCGACGTGGGCGCAGTGCGCTTCTTTTTGAACTCGAACAGGTCGGTGGCGGACTTGAGCTGGAACGTGTTCGGCGGCACGCCGTACGGCTCGGTCGGCTGCCAGTACTCGATCATGCCGCCGGTGTCGGCAGAGACAAGGCAGTCGTAGGCCTCGTTGTACGCGAGGAGGTGGCACGGCTGGCGGTGGATGTGCGTGACGGTGCGCAGCGGCGTGCCGTCGCCGCGGCCGTCGTAGAAGCGGATCGCGGTGCTGTGCTCCTCGGACACGGCGAGCGTAATGTCGGCGCTGCCGCGGCGGTGGACCCAGCAGCAGGCGCGGGGGGTATACGGGAGCTCGACCATGTTGATCAGGTCGTAGTTGAGCACGTCGAACACCTTTGCGGAGCCGTCCGCGGCGATCGTCGCGAAGTACGCGCCGTCGGCACTTGTGCACGTCCCGACGATCATCGCGACGTGCGCGCGGTAGTGCTTGACGAACTCGATGCCGTGCGCCTGCTTCTTCCAGAACTTGACGTGGCCGTCGACGGATGTCGTGATAACGAACGCCGTGTGCCGCGTGACGGACACAAAGTTGACCGTGTCGCGGTGCATGAGCGACTTGGCGTAGCGCTCCGCGCACGGGAGCTGGTCGAGGTAGAGGCGCTCGTACTGCAGCGTCTTGCGCCGCTTGGCGCGCTCCACCTCGTGTGCCTGCTCCTCGTGTGTGGCGGGCATCGGCATGGGCCCCACATCGTCGTCTGAGTCGTCTGGCGCGCTCGGCGCCGCGCGCTTCGCAGGCTCCGCGTCGGCGGCCATGGCGAGAAGATGCCACGCGACGCCGACCTACGAGGCCAATCACAATGTTCTATGACTACTCCACCGCGTGCTGCTGGATCACGTCGTCGATCTTGAGCACGGCGCGCACGAGCTGCGCCGCGAGCAAGAACTGCTGGCGCTTCGACACGAGCGGGTCGAACACGCGGCACTCCTTCATGTCGTTCGTCTGTGTCAGATCGCCCACGCACCCCTGTGCCCATGCAGTCGATGCCGTAGCACGCGCGCTGCTCGTTCACCTGCTTCGCCTTGACCAGCGCCAAGTTCTCGATCGGCGCCAGCCCACTGTTCTCCGCCAGCGCAAGCGGGATCGCATCGAGCGCCTGCGCAAACGAGCGCATCGCGTACTGCTCAATCGACGCGATCTCGTCGGCGGTGCGCGCCACGGCCAGCGACGCACAGATCTCCGCAGCGCCCCCGCCATAGACCACGCGGTTGTCCTGGACGAGCGTGCGGACGACGCACATGGCGTCGTGCAGCGCGCGCTTCGCCTCGTCGATGATCATCTTGTTCGAGCCGCGCAGGAACGCCGTCACCGCGCGCGAGTTGGCGCACTCCTCGATGACCAGCATGCGGTCGCGCGTCGTGCCGAAGCTCACCTCGCGCACGAGGCCCGCGTGGCCGAGCTTGTCGGCGCTCAGGTCCTCGAAGCGTGGCACGATGCGCCCGTTCGTCGCGATGGCGATCAGCTCCAGCTCCGGGCCGCCGACCCAGCGCACGGCGGGCAGCTCGTGCTGCAGGAGCAGGTGGTTCGCCTCGTCGTCGAAGCCCCACTGGCACACGACGAGGTTCGCGCCGGTGTCCTTGATCTTCTTGATCATGCCCTCGAACGTCTTCCGCTCGTACTCCTCCAGGCGGCGGTACTCCTCGACGGAGCTGATGTCCAGCTTGTGCTTCGTCTTCGGGCGCGGCGGCTCCAGCGGGCACGTCAGGATCGCGATGCGCGCATCGCGGATCTCGCGCGGCATCTGGGGGTGCGACATGTCCTTGTCGATCACCACGCCGTGCACGAGCGCCGAGTCCTCGAGCGCCCCGCCGACCTTGCCGTCGACCTTGATCAGCTCAAAGTCGACGTCGCGCC